TTCACACGCGTCCCACATAAGTTCCACGCTGAAGCGGGGTTGATGGCATTAAATTCTATTAAGAGGACTCCTATTCGTATTTTCCGTGAGCTTAATGCACATATTCATGACGGTTCATCGCACTGGCGAGTGTTAAAAGCATTAAATCCGTGCACGTAGATGAAGAAGAGCTTTTTAACCACTTGACAATCGCATTTTTTCTATAAAATTTTTTTTTTACCAACGGTACACTTTCATTTCAAATATTGATTTAAAAGTAATGTTGAAAATATATGTATAAATTTGATTTGCAACTAAATTTTAACATTTAAACTTGCTTATACGTAAATTCTGAAAAATTAATTAAGTGATTTTTTAAAAATGTTTATTAATATTTAAAAATTTAAGTTATTAGTAATGCAAACAGTTAATATGTTGCAAAAGAAGACTCAACAAAAATATCAAAATGAAAAAGTAGAAGTAGAGAATAAATTAAAAATTAAAACTACGCATTCTGTTCTGCTGCAAAGCGTTATTTATACACAAAGTTTGTTAATATTTCAGGCTATTTCGGTGTACAAGCCGTCGCATATCGTGTGTACTGAAAATTTGAATAATTAACCAACTGGCCGATGCAAAATTATAATTATAAATACTGACTTTCTGCATATTTATAATTTTCAGTGATTCAATATTGTTTTATACCACCGCGTTTATTTTAAACTCTGTTTCTTTTGCTTTGCAATGCTTTTATAATTCATTAACGCCGTTGATAGCTTTTATATAATTTTATTTTACATATAATTATATATATAATTTTATTTTTATATTCAAAAACTAATTTTCCCTTCTGCTGTTTGTGAGAAATCGACATTGCGCATGCAAATGTCCATCCGGCACATCTGGGACGATTAAATCCGCAGTGTTAATATTTGCAGTTATTTTTTATACAAAAGCAACACCGGACTTTTCGATATTGAAAATCTCGATTGACATGCACCGATTGGCAGCGAATCGAGGGAGCAAGCCAATCGATGGCCAAATAGCTGAATTTCGAGCTGCCACATTCAATCGATCGGTTCGCCGCTACTTCGAAGAAGACGCGTGCGTGCATTTTACACATGTCTGCACATGACGACATGTGCGTACCACTCGCTCCATTTAATTACTGCATCAAGCGAGCTTTCACAGCTGTTAAAGGAAATTAATTGCCCCAGCGACGTCCATGCTTCCGGTTTCGACAGCGTACATGATGGATCAAGCAGGACACCGGGTGGAAAAAAACTCTGGCAAAGAAAAAAAAAATTCTTTTTACCCGCAGTGATATATTATATTTCATATTTGTATTTACACGCTAATGCTTTCATATTTTTACATCCATTTGCAGAAAGGAGATAACTTTAATAACACGCGAAAAAATATCAAATATAATAGTAAAATATTTTTAAGAGAAATTTTTATACCTATATATTCAGGATACTTTCACAGCTTGGAAAGCTTTATTATCAAGTATCGTGCAATTTATTTTTATTATTGTTAACTTAATCTTATTTCGGCTTTTTGTTTTCCCGTTTAACGAAGTTTCCCCTATCCACTATCTTTGATCTATCTTTGCCTCGTATTTATCGGACTTTCTCGGCGAGGGTGGTTGCAAGATTTCCTTCCTCTCGATCTCCCTCGCCAAGTTGTCTGCAGCTACGCTCCTCTCCGAGCTACCGTAAATTGTTCTACTTAGCTAAGGCGAGTAGTGACCCTCCCAGCGAAGTTTAATTAGCTTTTAAATCCCTGCCGCTCATTATGCCCTCCTTTTTCTCCTCCAAATTGAAGGGAAGGGTTTCTTCTCCTATCGTCTAACTTCGCGCGAGTAATCGCGCAGAAAGGAAAAAGGAAACGCGCCCTTTCAGCAAGAAATACAACCGAGCAAAGAATTTCACCGAGCGACACCGAGAACCGATTGCCATCGTTTCGATTTAATTGGCCAGCGATACTTTTACTCACTTGATACCGAATACAAGTGCAGACATAACGCCCGATAAGTATCATTGCTGTTTGCGAGAATAAAACGAGAGTTCTGCGCTGACAAAAAAATCAGGCCTGTCAAATTTTTAAGCGCAAATAAAATTTGCAGGAAATTATTAACATTTTCCTTATTTATTTACTTTATATGTTATCGTTTGATTATTATCATAAATAAAGCATAATGATCACGAAATTGGCAACATCATGTTTTTGTTAAAGTTACACAATAGCGTTTAGCGTGAGAGAAGCGAAAGACATTCTTGTTAGGTTTTCGCCGGTCATTTCCGGCGACACGTAGCGTTCCCTTAGCGTCCACCTTTTGATTTATCACAACGCAGAACCACCCGCGAGGTAGGCAGCCGTGTCGGAAGGCTTCTCTATATGTGGCGATGATAAATCTCTAGCACTCTCGGCTACAGGCGCCGCCGCTAAATCTGCGCGAATCACGCAGCGTGTGGCCGGTATCGCCGTAATAAATCGCGCTTCGATCGCAAAACCTTCTTGTAGTACACGTACCGCGTGAGAAAAAGGATCCAGAAATCTAGCAGAATTTATTCTGTAATTTCCAAAGAGATTAAAACTCTAAGGATTAAAGGATTTAAGAAGAGGAGAGAAGATTTTATCTTTAAGCCAGAAATTTAACAATCTATAAATTGACAATCAACAGACAAAGAAATCTATTAATTTTTAAATTAATAAACTATGAAGAAAGTAAAATACCTAAAGAACTGAAAGTTAAAACCGTGCAAAACTTTGTGTGTGTGTGAATAAAGTTAATAAAACATTTAAAACATGCAAAATTAAAGATAATAACAACAAAAATGTCAATGGTAGTAATCGATAAATAACATAGAGAAGTTTTGGATAAAATTTTTCCGCATTTTAAAGTGTAACGACAACGACATGGCTTTCCTCGTAGCCGATGCTCCAATGTTTTGCCATAGATTTCAGCCAATAACCGTTTCGCTGTAGAGAATTTTGCCATATCCACGAAAACAGTCAATTTTACGTTTAAATGACTTTTCGCTCGAAAAAAAGGAATAAAAATAAATATCTGCTTTTACAAATAACAACATCACTGTGTATATTTAACAGATCTGCACCAAAAAACTAAAGAAAATCTATACGCATATACTATTTTTTGTTAAAAAAAAATAGAAAAAATAAATAAATAAATAGGTTTGAACAAAATATTTGAGTTTATAGCGATAAATATAATAAGAAGCATTGGCGCTTCGAGGGGAAAATAGATATGACATTTCATCGTTTGCTGTAATCCTGCGGCGAAAACATCGCCACGTTGTGCATTATGGAACGGCGAATATGGCGAAGATCCTTATGATCCTTCTTGCTATCAACTTGGCCGGCGAAATAAGTACGCCCGAGATTTGGCTTATTCTGAATAATATATCAAACTTATGAAGCGACTTTGAGGGCAATGTCGCGGTAAATCCTTGTATTATAAAATGGAGGGACGAAATTGCGCCTTAGTTGCCCTCGTGTGTTTGCGTGATTATATATTTCGACAGAATCCGGTAATCCTTAACGAGAATTTCATGCGATACACGCGTAGGAAAAGAGCGAGATAGAGAGAGAGAGAGAGAGAAGGAGGGAGAAGAAGAGGAAGAGCAAATTATGCCGAATTTGTAATAGAAAAATCATTCGAAGAGATTCAAAGTTTAATATTATAAATTCAAGAAACAGAACATTTAAAAGTTTTTAAAATACACCAGACTTTTAGAGCTTCTAAACGCTAAAGAGCTAAGCTCCGAGTTCTAAAATCCATCTAGGCGAGGATCCTAGACAGCACCTATCCTATCCTCATCCTCTTTGTGTCTGGGAGACGCGGTAAGTTCATTAAAGTAAATGAGATGATTCTGAAGAGGAGCTACTCGTCGCGGAACCAACTCCTCCTCCCTTCCCCCCCGCCCCTCTCTTTTGCCCCTAGCCGGAGGGGATCGTCTCCAAGCCTTCTTATCGTAGATTTAACACGTCGTTACGTCCCGTGAATACGCTGTGAATACATGTGCGTAGACGCGAAGCAGATAATTCGGATACAAAACTAATTTTGCGAAGCCCTTACGCGCATTAAGCTCACTGACGACTCCCACCAAGTCTTAAATTTATCCGACGAAACCCGAATTACATACCGAAAGAGATTTATTCAGGCTGAAAGCTGAGTTATAATGTAAATTTACAAGAAACAACGGAATCGCACTAAAGTTGAATTAAAGTTGAATCGAGGCTGAATTGAAGTTGAAATAGCGGACAAAACTTTATCTCAATGCCAGTTCAACTTCAATTCCATAATAATTCAAATTAATCTTAATTTTAATTTAACTATAAATTAACTTTATTTTAACTTTAGCAAGTTGAAGTTGATTATTTCATGTATTTAAAACTATTCATTGTACTATTCATGTATGTCAAAAAAAAATTTATTTAATAGATTTATTTAATAAATTCTGAATCTATATTTATATAATTCAACATCCAGAATTATGGAACAGAGAATTTTCTAATTTTTATTAACACTGAGTTTTTATATTAAAAATACCGAAAAGTTATAAAAGAATATTAACACGTAGCAATACTATAAGATCCTTTTATCGCTTAATTAGTTACATAAATAATCTCAGCACTAATTGCTCTTCTGCTTGAGGAATTTACTAAGAAATCAATGAACCCAATATCGTGATATTTATTAAGTCGTTCGCGAAAGCGTATCTTTTTAACTACAGAGAGAAAAGCTCCTGCTTTCTGCGATTCACGTTCTCACGTATCAACGAGCAAACAAGCATCTGGAGTATCCTTCTCCTTCGATGCTTCTTGATATCTAGACAGCTGTCGACCGAGCGCACATTCGCAGAAAGAATTCGAACAATGGGGACAATCTTATCGAAAATGAAAGTTTCCGCGCCAAAACTTGCCTCGCCCTGGCGGCGCTTCGTTCGGAAATTCTTAGGTTAATTTTAGAAACGTTTCTTGTGCGTGCGTGCCGGCTCAGTTTGCTTGCAAGATTCATCGAGATAAAATGTGTCGTCGACGCGTGTATCGTCACAAAAGAAATTAAGTGTATATCTGTGTTAAGTGTATGTTATCCGAACAAGTGTACATCTGAACAATCGGATTTTAACTTTTGTAATTTGTTTGAGGTTATATTTTTAGTGGTGGTATAATTGTGCTGTTATTGCAATTAAAGAGAAATTTATTAGCATTATCGGAGAAAATATGTGAATCGTGAAAGCAAAATTTATCGCTGCTGCTGGGATTTTTATTCACATAAAAGAAAAGGTAAAAAATCAGAATATGCTCGACTATTTCACAATCTAAAAACCGAGATTGTTGAAATGTAACAATTTGCCACAGTTCTAAATACACTTTTGTCGAGGAAAAACTTTCTATAAAATTCATAAAATAGAACTTTGCTTTAAAAGAGAGATGCAATAGAGGTATGATAACGGAGCGTGATAACGTGGCGAGATTTTCTCACCTCTCGAAAATCTATCATAAACATCGACGAAAGTAAAAAGAAGAATTAATGATGGATGCGGTGGAATTCCTATAAGCTTCCGCAACAAGCGGTCGGCGAAATAGGATTTGTTACAATAATCGCTTACGGCCGTCCATTGAACCTCTAATCCTTCAACAAAGCCAGAAAAAAGTATAAAAATTTGTCAAAAATATTTTATTTTATATATTCCACTGTTGAGAAATATAAATAAAGTTAACGTTCGTTGAAACATAATATATAGCATTACAAATAAAAGAAGTAAAATTAAATGTAAAATGAGGTATTTCGCTTTTTCTTCAAAATTTTATTATATTTGTTTCATGAAACAGAGATGAAATATACTCTAATAAACCTTTTCCTCTCCACTTGAGAAGTATATAAATAAAAACGTAATATTCGCGGGCGTGGTAGTAACATATTGAGCGCATCAACTGTTATTGCGATTTCTCACCCTGAAGAGTGCTCGTCGACGCGAAAATGTGCAATTCGGCTTTACCCGACGAGGAGTCTCCAATTGTCACTGTCGACGTTAAAAATAACGCGGATGACTCTTTTCACGAACGTGAAATATCTCACAAAAATTTCTATGAAGCTCTAATGATCTTTTAATGCTAAAATAACTATGCTTTTTTTCTAATAATCTTTTAATAATACTTTTCTTATGATACATTCCGCCAAAAAATTTCGAGAACACATCCAGCTATTTAAATGTTTAAAGAAATCATTAAAATATCAAATATTTTCTCAATAAATATATTAATAACATTTCTTTCAAAAAAGTTTTAAATAAATCAAAGCAATGCAGTTTTGGAAACTACTGCTGCAGACTACACATCGGCTTGACAGGTAGATCTGATACGGTCTGAAAATCGCGTAGCGTGTTCAAGTCCTCAAAAGTTCGCCTACCGTAAACGTCACAAATATCGGATTTAGCTGGTCGCTCTCTCTCTTGCGTTTTCCTAGGTTGGTTTCGAACTCAACGTCATTCATCCAACGTAAATTACATCGGAATTACGGGACGCTCGTCGCAAAACTGCGAGCGAACTATTATCGTGATGCTGGAAAACGTGCACATTTCGCTTGTCACGCGATCGAATTTGCGCAAACGCGACTTGTCGCTCGACGTTAACGCGAAGGAATCGCCACTTTACGAAGTTTTTATGTCGTCGTTTCGTGCCAGCGCAAAGATATCGCGATATTCTTATGTAAAAAATTTTTCCTTACGACACCATAAGACATTTTAAATATAGAAATAATTTTGCGTATTAATATTATGCTACGATAAATGAACGCGTTTACTCAGTTGACGAAAATTGGAAAATATATTTTACGTAAATCAATTTTTATTTAGTTTTGACCATTTCTTTCGTATGGGAAATTCGGAAGTGCTGATGGTTGGAGTTTTTAACGGATAGTGCTGCAAGTTTAAAGATCCAAACGCGACGCTCGGTGATGTCCTCCAAGGCGATATTCTTGGCGGGACAAACAAGGGTGAACGCACGTACGAAGAGAGCGAGAGCGACGACTCGTACGCTCGCACAACTGCACGTACTCTACGCCCCAAATAGAACGCGTTGCCTGTTGGTAAACTTCGTTCTCTTGCGACTTTCGATCTCCCTATCACGCGTATAAACTCGTATTCCCTAGGTAAAATTCTTTCGCTTAAAGATATGTGTGTTACATGCTATATGTTTCCGAATAAAAATGTTTAAACTTATGTTAATTTGTGATATTGCAACTTTCTGCATAATCCAAATTTTTTTACTTGATATTTCAAAGTTAAATAAAAAAATATTGTGTCTTTAAATTTTAACGATTTTTTTAGCTAATGTTGTATAATTAATTATTTTTAAATAGCAGTCTTTTTAAAATTTCTAAACAAAGTATCTAAAAATACTATCGCCGATAAGTTCATGAATATAAATATATATATTAAATCTTAATCTTCTCTTTTGTAACAATAAATAAACTGAGATCTTTTACTAATTATCAAATTCAAATTTTTTACTCCTAAAAACTAATTAATAAAAATTTCATTCCAGCGTAAGAAGCAGAATTACACATTGGTCATGTTGAATATCAAGTACATATTATTTGAACAAACTTTGACCGCTTGGGAATATTTGAAGAGTCGAGGATAGATGGATATCATGTTGAACTATGCAATGAATAATAACTCGAATAAAATCAAGTGGAATCTGAAAAATCAATAACTATGAAAATGTAAACTCTACATGGAGAAAAGTATCTCTTATCGATCCGTGTAGCAGCGGAAGCTTCGAAGTGAAAAGTTCTAACGACGAGCAAAAGAGCAGTCGCTCCCTTCGCATCCGGCCTGACGGGAGTTGGAAAAATTATTTTTACTTCAATCGTGAGTGCTTCGTCGCAGTTGTCCGGCGTTGCTTCAAACTCGCTGTTGTGAGCTTCTTAGAAGTCACATCTTACAGTGTTTTTCTATGACTCAGTGTGCCATTTTTCCGCAGGATCATGAGACATTTAGTGACCGTAAATTTTGCGATTTAAGATATAAAATAAAATATTAAGATTTTATTTGCTTGAAGTGTTAATAAAGTGAATAGAAATTTCTTAAGCAACATTTTTCTAAGTTAAATTTCGTGTTGTGGAATTAATAAACGCGAAGCAAATGTCCAAAATGTTACGAATGGAATTGGTGGGTCTTGTACTGTTGGCCTGCACGCAGATTCTCACGGAGCACCGCGACTTTCACGAGTCACGACACCAGTATGGTCATCATCAGCGATTCCACGATCCCCAGGAAAGAATGACGAGAGAAGTCCGCGTCAAGGAAGGCCGATTGCGCGGTGTGATTGTCCAGCCGAGAACCAATTATAATATGCAGTTGGTCGACGTCTTTCTCGGTAAGTTTTGAAATATATTTAATTTATTTAATTTAAAACAGAATGCTTAAGACCGCATATCCACATATGAAATAGCAGAATTCAAAGATATCGAAAAACCAATTTATCGGATTAAATGCTTTTAATATTAAAAGTTAAAATTGGTTTCTTTTGAAAAAAATATGTAAGAATCGTGGAATTATTTATCAAGTACGTTTAATCCAGTAAAACTGCTAAGCTGGTTGACGCAAAGTCGGCGTTTCATATCCCACAATCTACTACAACGGTATCTCGATAGCGTTCGATACTCCGAGGAGGAAACTCGGCTTCGGTCAGTGAGCAAAAGTTTCCTGGCAGCTGCATATCCGCGCTTTGAGAGTCCCGATACGTCAAAGGATCCAAAACGAGGAGCGTACGCTCGCGCGCTTGTGTATTTCGGGAACAGATATTACTCCCATCGCCGCGCTTCGTCCCTCCGACTTTCTCCGTCTTTGCTCGACTCATGCTATGCGTCCGTCAAGTCGCATTGCCACGCGTCGAGCTGCATATCGTGTGCATCACTTTGTATACGCAAAAGCCGAGCCTGCATCGCTCTCGCTCTTGGTAATCATCCAAAGTGAACGCATTCAACGAACCAGTTCTTAGAACAATTTAACCTTGTAAAGATAAGTGAGTTGAAAAAAATGTGCCCAAGAAATCGATTTCTAAATTTAAATAGAATTGAAATTGAATTGAAGTTAAACTAAAATTTAATTTAAAAATAAAGTCAAATTGTATTAAATAAAATTAAATTGGAATTTGATCATTTTAACAATTGGGTTTTTAACTATTTTATTGGGCGTCTATTCAATTTGAAAACAAAAATAATTTACATTTTGAAAATAAATTCTTCAAAAACTCCCTAATTTTTCAAACAACTTTAATCAAATTTGCAAACAAAATTAGAGTATATTTACATATAAATTTAAAATAAATTGACTTGCTATATGAGCTTTTTAACATTTTCTATTCATACTCGTGGAAATTAAAATAATGTTTTTAAAAACACATTTTAAACAAAAATTATTCAAATCTCCGATAAAAATTTTTTAAGAATACCACGATTTTTTAAATAACAGCTTTATTTAATAATAATAAATGATGAAGTTTTTTTACGGAGCAATTATAGTATTCTGTTAAATGAAACTAAAACAGTTTGCGTACTTATTGTGGAATTGTTTTGTTAAAAAATAAATGTATTCCTGTTAATTAATTACAAGCCGAAAAAGAGTTAATTTTCTTAAGCAAATTTACCTTATAATAGGAATGTTAATTATTGTAATTATATGCTACAGATCTGACAGCCAGTATCTATAGTAATCTTCTCTTGTGTGTGTTTTAGGAGTTCCTTATGCGGAGCCTCCGGTGGGATCCTTCAGGTTTTCACCGCCTCGCTCACCGCAGCCATGGAGAGGGGTACGGCAGTCGCAGGAATTTGCCCCAGTTTGCCCCCAAGTCTTGCCAAATCTTCGAGAGGAAGTAAAGCCAGGCAGGTACGAGTACCTGGAGAGACACCTACCGTACTTGAAGAACCAGAGCGAGGACTGTCTGTATCTTAACATCTACGCTCCTCATCAAGCCGAAGGTAAGTGCGAGTGATCGTACAAATTAAACATTTCTCGCTAAACAGCAGTGTTGCGGAAATTGTGCTCGTTGAGATCGTCTATCGCACTAATTGTCTTTTTTTAAATTGCAAAATATCTGCTACTTTTTGCTCTCAATTTAATTATTCTTTTGAACTTAATTTAATTTTAGTTAATTTAAAAGTTAAATATTTTTGCGGTTTAACGGTTTCACTAGAAATGGAAAAATATTCGTTTGAATGAGTTACGTTGCATATAAATAAAAGCAAGCAGCTAAAGCATTTTACATTCTGTATATAATCTGCGAACGCGATGATCCCCATATTCGAAGTCCAAGCGACCCGTAGGCGGAATAATCCTCCGACGGAATGATGAAAATATCTGGCATTGAATTGAAACTTCCTCGGATTTCCCTCGCAATAGCAAGCGAAACATGGAATATCCAGCCTGCCAAAAAAGGGAAAAAAAGGAGGATCAGATCGATCGTTCGATCTTGCGCGGGCACGCGATTATGCCGGTGCATTCGACTCTGCAACGAGCTTTTCCGCACGGTCAACTGCGTAAAACAGCTGCCATCGATTTACGAGCCGTCGTCACGGTGGAAAGGAACGGTCACGTGGGATTCAGCTTTCGCGTTATAAATTCATTCGCCTCGTACGTATATATATTCATTCCGCCGCTCGCCGATGCGCGTATTCACCATTTTACAATACTGCCGGCATGAGTGGGTTAAACTCGCGTCGCAGGGCCATTTACAAGCGTATGGAAATATCTGCAAGAATTCCAAATCAAATTGACCGGTCGGGCTTTTGCTGTGAGATATCGCTTGCAAAACCGTGCTATTGCACCATGTTAGCTCGCTTGTTTCACGCAACGATACGTTCGTTATAAACCATGCGTTTTCATATTTTTATACACGGCATTTCTATAATCTAACATAATTTCAAATCAAAATACTGCTTTCTATGTTTATTTTGAGTAGCTATGTGAATTATTTTAACTTGTTCAAAAAAGTTGCAAATGAAATTTATATTTTTGCAAATTGGTTTTTTTGCGCGGTCGAAATGTGTTTTAGATATAATTTATATCTTATATATAAAAAATCACTTATAGAGATAAATTTTATAAAATTTTATAAAATTAGAAAGAAAATGAAGACAGATTTGATAAAAGTGTAATATATTCTCTATATTTATGTTCTCTCTTTAATGTAAAAATAGGTTAATCTTCTTATCACTGTTTGGAGAACACTTCTTATCTCCCATGATAAACAAGATAAGCAGCACTAGATTTCCTCAGCGTTTTCTCGGGAGGCATTAACCCCTTAAAGCAAGCTCAGTTCAAGGATACAGCAATTACCGCAATTGCAGTAGCCTTGCTATTTCACGAGATCCAGATTGCGAGTCGTCATTGCGGAAAATAGATCTTGAAGAATAAATCTAATTTGCGCAGTGTACGATCTCTCGCCGCGGCATATTCTACGTTTATAAAATTTAAAGTGCATAAAGTTATAAACCTGCTGAATTTTCTACATTAATGAAACGTTTTAATTTTGTTTTCACTTGGTAAAAGGAATACTTAACTCATCGGCGAGCACATTATGCAAAAAGCTACAGACGCTGAATTACTATTGTGCATCGCGGAATTGCCATTCCGCGAAAGCCACGTCAAATTTGGAATAAAACGTGCGTTGATTACTTTCTCGGTAGCCCTGTGCTTTGGGGTTGAGTATAGCTAGAGAGGGAAACGTGTCCACGAGTGGCACTCGAGAAAGTCGTCGGAGCCAACACTGCCTTTGTACCGCCTTGTCGTTCTACGGTTCCAACGAGACCAATTTCTCTTCCACGCTTTATCCGGGAAGAGAAAGGGCAAGAAAAAAGGGGGAAGGGGGAATAGAAGGGCGTACTTGCAGCACTTTGTGCTTAGTGCCCCGTCAAACTACGTATAATTATATCGGCGATGCATTCATATACACGTCCTCTATTCTCGAATGTGAAGTGATTCTCGCTTGTTAAAGTTTTTTTACACGAGCCCACATCTCTTTGCTCTCGCCGTTTCATGAATACGCTTTGCAAAGCGTGATCATGTTATTTAGCTGACGTTTTAAGCTGCGATAATATTATTGAAGTAAAAAGAATAGTTGATCTATTAGAATAATGGATGGATTAATTATTTGAACGATCTATAATTCGCACGTAATGGAACTCGAGATAAAATTTTATTTATAATTTTATATGCAGTGTACAAAATGTGTAGCAATGATGTTTCACTTTTTGTGTGCGCAGATTGTTATCTCAAATTCTGTTATAATTAATATGTTATCTAAAAGCGAGGCAGGCTTGGGTTTTTTCCGATTTAAATAATCACATTTTAATTAAATTAACTTGAAGAGAATATACACTGGAAACATAAAATAGTAAATAAATAAAAGGAATAGCTTTCGTATAATCCTTTTCGTAGGATTTTCGGAAACATAAATATTACTACGAATCGAGAAATGCGTCAGTGAATGCACAAAAATTATTTATACTGCATACGTTGTATAAATTTGCCTTTTAAGCGAATCGTTGTTGGCAGGATTTTATGATGCCTCTTTGTGAGTTTAAATTAACGGAAAGCAAATAACAGTTCTATAAAATACCAATGAATAATATTTGGTTCTTTTAGCACAGTTTTCTATCCATCAATTCCGACGTGGATCAAAAGTCAATTGAATCGTATGACGATTTGCCATTCTCTGTTTTCTCATGTAAAGATGATCCACGATCCTTCAAGATTTTTCCTGTGACTCTTATCCTTCTCGGATTGTTTGAAAGCTTTCAGATTCGAATCTGAATATCGAGGTGAAAAAGGCTGGCTTTTGAGATCTTTCTTACAGTCGACACACATATTCGGTATGCCGCCATATTGCTTTCCTCCGCCTCTGTAAATCTCCGCCCGAGGGTGAGATTTATTCGACTATGCCCCGTAGATCGAGCATTAATGAATTTTCCGATATTTTACCGCGCCGCAGGGGTTGCGATTACTGAAAGCTGAACCCCCTTCCTTTCTGTTTCGCCTATACCCGCCTTCATTTTCATTTCATCTCTTTCTTTCTCATGCATCATCGGTAGAAAGCAGGAGCACGGAAAAAAGGAAAAAAAGTGTGATAATCTAATCGTCATATAATTTTAAAATTATTATAAAATGATTAAAATAGTAAAAATTATTTTAAATTGTATTTTATTACTTTTCTGAACGGTTAACGCAAAGTTCTAATATTTAAAAGGACAAATGTGTTTAAAGTGAAGCAGGTCCTTTAATCAGGCTCGGACAATTTCGATTTATTTGCGCACTCAACACATCATCCAACCGCAACTTTCGCGTGTTTGCTGGTGGAAATGCGTCGGAAATAAGTTTTGTTTACCAACTGTGCCGCAAGCGGTTTTAAATTAAAACGTTAAGGCGATTGCTTAAAATTTTTCCGTTTTTTGCGATGAAACTATTATAAATCCCAAATAAACATTCATGGCATTACATTTGATTTTTAAATTGAGAAGAAAAAAACGAAATCACGGATTAGCATCATATATCCGCAGGTATTAATAGATGTAAAATCATGAATCATTATAGTTTCCAAGTTTGAAAGTTTATTATTACATCGTAATTTTATTAGGAAACTTTGGTAAATAAGATCCTAAGATTGAGGGGAAAAAAAGTCTGCCAATGACAAACGATGTGCTTGAAAAAAGTTCAGATCATCGGGAAGTTCGACCCGTTAGCGATGTTACGAGAAACGTGCCAAAGAAATTGGCTTTGTTATATCAGAAAGCGAAACCTGCGTTTCCGCTATGTTCTCGAGTTTTACGAAATACATCCTCGTCTTCCTCAAAGGCTGCGTCTAATGGCTCGTGTCGCGAAAATCTCTCCAATCCGTCTTTCTCTCTCTTTCTTTACGTCTTTGCTACTACTTTAACTTGCATTGCACTACATACATCATTTATTTTTATGCGATCGAGGTAGATAAATGCAGTTTAAATTACGTGGAAATGTCAATTTATGTCAATTCTTTATTTAAATGAAATATGTAGAAGAAAAATTACGAGATTTCAGATTGTTTAAATAGTAATTGCTTTTATTTGTGAAAAGCTATCAATGATAAATTTTAAAGAATATAGAATTTTACAAGTCTTCGAGGTGTCTTGAATTCGAATATCTCTTTGGCCTTGGGCTATGCGCATTTCGATGTTCTTGAAACCTACATTTCTTAGATGTTAACTGCATCCAGTACTAGATTTCTTGAATCCCACGTGTCTTGGATTTTAGGTGTCTTCTTTGCCACAAATTTAATACAACGGAATAAGCGCTTATTAAACGCGCTAAACCGTTTTTGATAAGCAAATATTCATATCCACTTCTCCGCTTTAACGATACATTTTCATCTCATTTCAAAGATCTATTAAAATTGTATAAACAGATCGGACAGGGTCGACAGCTCCTTCAATACGCGGAAAACAAAGATGGGAGTTACCGGCAACAAAAATAACGAGAAACAGCGGAAAGTATCGTCTGGAGCGAAAGTTGCAGCCGTCGCTTTACGAGCACGCCGTTTATTTTAAGTTCTTTCAAACTCTGCGCCGAAAGGAAACGGCGAGACCGCGCGAGCTGAAAAGGAGCGCTGAACGGTGGAGGGGAGATATAAAGGAATAGAGGAAAAGGGAAAGAAAAGTCGACGAGAAGAAAGAAAGAGACAGAGAGAAAGGGAGATAGAAAGAGATATCGGGCTGGAAATAGAGGAAAGTGGTGGAATGGCGGTCGCTTCAAACCATTAGACAAATTTTATATATAGCGCCGGAAAGCTCGTTCGTTTTTGCTGCACGTTGCTTATTGCTTTTCACTTCGGAGCAATAATCGACATTTCGACACGTTACGAGACAAAACCGTGATACGTACAAAATGGTACAACTGCTATCGCTAAGCAGCAAAGAAACAAATAATTCTTTTTTAGTTTCCGCGCAATTAT